ATGTACATATATATATATAGCTATAAAGCTTCTGCATTTTATATAAGTAATGCTCTGATTCTGAAGTCAAACAACAGCTTCTCTACCAACTGGTCAGCTGCAAATAAGTCCTACAATTTTCTAAGCACCACCAGCTATTCTGGTAGATAGATGGAAAGCAGAATAGAGCAATAAAATCCAGATCTTGCCAGTCCATGTCAGAATTGCCATTCTTAGTCAACTCAATCCTTTGACAGCTTGGGCCTCTCATTATAAAGTGAATGGCAACAGTTATTTGGGGAGATCTTTATTATACTTAATCACTTCCATGCAATGCTACCTTTCAGTTGCATATCAAATGCAGTTTGCTCTAGTCAAAAACTGATTTAAAGCTTTCATTTTTTATTTCTGTGAGTAGTTTCATTCTGAAATCTTTCATCAATATAGTATTAACCTTTCAAAGTAAGTAGAATTAGTTCGATTCCTTTCAACAGGAACATTGACTTAAAGGGCTTGGAATGACTACAAAAATGGCTAATACTGATTAGAACTTGAAAAAGGCTACTGGAAACCATTGCTGACATGTTACATTACCTAACGGTACAAGCAAGCCTCCCCTCACACTGTCTGAGCATACACACATCCACATCAAACACTACTTGACCAGCAATTCTGAAAACAAACTTGCAGCTAACTGTGCCTGTCTAAAGCTTCTCTTCAGCTCAACTAGAAAATACACTGGGTAATACCTACTCCTTATGAAAGTAAACAAAAATTTACTGTTATGAGAGAAAATTTAGAAGCTTCAAGTTTAGATAAAACTGTTAACTGTGAGAACCATCGCCAGTTTTACTGGGTTTGACATAAAGTGTTCGCTGACATCTAGTTTAGGGTCATAATTTAACCAGCAGGTGCCAATTTAACAGTGCCAGTAATACTAAATACACCTAAGAACTGGAAAAGTTCCATCTGCAAAGCACTATACTGCACAATTGTATATACTGCACATAAAAGGAAAACCAATCAAGGACAATAAAAAAGCTGAACCTATACCTCCATCATTTCCAACTTGTCAGGATATGCAAGATCACCTGGAGCAGGCTTGTAGCCTGTGATATCAGTCTGAATGTAAATATGCGTCCTATAGACAAGACGCTCTTGTACATCTTCTAACATCTGCTTGACACCAGCTGCGAATGCACCCAGTTGTTCAGCTGACAAAGGTAAAAAAAAGGCACAAATTTGTTAATTTAATTACAAAACAAGCTTATAGACATGAAAGTTTGAAGTATCACTTACAGAACTGTCACAAAACTGGCTTGCTGCAGATGAAATCAGACTATTTTTGGAACAGCGGCATGCAGACAAATTTGTGACAAACAAGGAATTACTGAACTCCATATTGCAGCCGCTTCAGCTGCCCAAATTTTCAATAGATAGGAAAAATGCAATCTCACACTGATAACATCAGACACCATGTTAGTATTAAGCATTCTAATTATTTGAGACTTGGGTACATCAAGTGGCATTTCTGCCTGGACACCAAATCAACGTGTTTTGGTTCTATCACAGCCAATGCCTGCAGTGTGACTGTCAGGAGTTGACAAGCTAACTCATCCACCTACCTACCAGAACAGATGATCCAAAGCAGCTCACGCCCAACTTAAGAACTCTTGTATCAGCCTGAACTTAAGTAGTAGAAAGTCACTTCGTAAGACTAGCTGAAAGATTATGTCACCAATTTTTTCCTCATTCCCAACAGTATTACAATTCTACTTCCAGGAAAATGAGCAATTCTTCTTGATATCGGTACAGCTTCAGAGACAAAGAGCTATATACTCTGTGTTATATACCAGCTACCAAGTATGATTTCTGTTTATCGCTTGATGCAAGGTTAAGACTGCAAAATTATTCCATTACGCATTGGTCATATTAAGGAAACGAGATACCAGATTTGTTTCTGATGGTCAGCTCACTTCTATGATACTATGAGCTCTGAACACTTTCAAAACTCCAAAATCTCTACCAGCTATGAAACTCCTCTGCTGAAGTTACAATTTCTAGTCTGGGAAACACTATGTCAAGGAGAATGAAAAAATCAGGTTTGCATTCCTTTGTTTTATCATCATGTATGCAGAGAGCTCTACACAGATGATGCATTAGCAGGGCCAAGCGAAGCAATTCATTCATTTGAAAAGTTCATTCATTCATTTGAATTTAAATCAATCCTGGTGCGTGCATACGCACTGGGTGGATGCTTGCTTGCATTTGTACAATCTAGAGAAAATAGGACTCTATAACATCAGTATATTAATTTAAATGAAGATATACACAGACCCATAAATACAGACCTTTCTATTATAAATGAAAAAACATAATTTATTGAAAATAAACTTACCTCATCTTTGACATGTTTAAGACCCATTAGAAAGAGAAAAATCTAGGGATTTTTTTACCTATGCAATTTAATAATTTTATCAGTTAAGATGGTTAAAAACAATCAGATTCCATCTATGAGTTACCATTGTTCTGTACATGATCTTCAAGCATCTCATTTTTGAGAATCCCGCAGAGTTCAGAAAGTGTCTCTAAATGAATGACATGGATGATCATTGGCCTCAGGACATCATACAATGAAAGACACAATTTCTCCAAGAGTTCACTATTAAAAAAAAATAAAACAAAGCGAAACACTTTCAGGATCCCGCAATACCAAAATAAAATTTTATCACAGATATGGATTATTTTATGGCAAAGATTTTTTAAAAGGAGAGTGAGAAAACAATGCAATACAGTATCATAGAAGACTTAAGAAAGGACTGTTTAAAACACGAAACTCTGATTTTGTACAAAGTCTTTTAAAAGATGTAGGATGTCAACTGCTTAAAATAGTGGTACAGTTGTGAATTCATTTTAAAATAAATAAATTAAAAAAAAAAACTAAAACACAAACAAAACAACCAGGCACATGCAAATATTCCTCAACACTAAGGGCAGCTCACTAACTCTAAATCCTTGATGAAAAATGGCTGAAGTTCATCAGCTTAATTTTACACTGAAGTAAATGAAAAGCACTTCTGCAACTGACTGCAAACCGTTGGCATAGAGGCAGTACAAAAACAGCTGAGAGCTGTGGCACTGTAAACTTCTACAGCTATTTCCAAAGCAACTGTGTGTCTTTATCTCTTTCAGATCATCTACGGAGCATTTACATTACTCAGATTATTTATGGAGAATGTAAACTATCAGCTTCACTTGAAGAAAAAAGAAGACAAAAGAACATCAAATTCCGACACATAAAGTGATGAAGGTTTTCTTTCTTGCTGGTTCTTACTAAACCACTTCAATACTATCCTACTTGCCATATACCATTGTCTGCTATATCACAGCATAGTAAATACAACATGCAGTAAAACAAAACCAGCATGTACCACCTACTCCAGTTTTGGTGTTGGTTTTGTGAAGAACTCATTGTAAAGCTGGTGTTCATCCTGGCATACATGGACCATAAAGGCACAACCACTTCGTACCTGTATTCACAGAAATACAAATACTTTAGTATTAAATTATTTTCCTTGCATCAGTGCCACAGGAGGTATTACAGATATTATTATCATATATTACATTATTATATTATATACTGTATTATTATTACTACAGCTATGATTAAATTGAAGCTTTGTGAAATTCAAAATTACTGAGATCAACTACAAAACTAAGGACTGAAAAGATGTTACTAGCCAAATAAAAGCCCATTGTGCAACTTCTGTCCCTTTTTGTTTCTGATGATATTTAAGTAACCACATTTTATGCTTTTGCAAATACCCCTTTGTGAGGTTTGTAGCAGAGCAGAGTTTCTACAGAATAATCTTCCACAAAACATGCATTACTTGAAACTATTAGTAAAATTTTAACGATTCAAAACCAGAAACAAAAATGACAATTCTATATGTAAACGACTGAATTAAGTAAGTACATTTTACTTGGGGGAGGAGGGATTAAAACATAACAAAAACCCCACAACACATGACTACTTTACCTACCAGAGCACAATGGTCTCTGTTGTTCTGACTGGTTAACTCTGTAACAGTGCTAGCGATACTTGGACCAAGCAAAAGCTCCCTCTGGTCGAGGTAACATTGATGGATTTCATTGAGAACTTGTTGATACCTAGCCAAGAAATTAAAAGAGTAACTGCATCCTAAAGCTCAGTTTTCTGGTAAATATAAAATTCATTCTAATACCCTCTTTTATGTCTACAAAATTTCAATTTTTGAAACTTTCTTTTAAACTAGTAATGTGTTAAACAGTACTTAAACAAAAGTAAAGATTTTAAAAACTTAAAATTGTTGAAAATATATTATGTAGACATACTCACTCTGGCATTTTTTCAGATCTTTGCTCAACTTGTTCAATAAGAGTCTACTCAATAAAAAGAAAAAAGTATTATCAGTAATTTTTTTTTTTTCTCTAATAATTGGAAAATAGTTTGCAGTATTTTTCCAAGGACACAATACGCAATCTTTGGACATTCGCTCTTGCACAATATGCAATCCTTGCATTCACACTACTAATAAATCCAAACACCATTTGCATAGCTTCCTTTTTAACAGTTAGTTACCAGCCTACTTACTCTGACTTTGGGAGCAGCTGCTCTGAATTTTACATAAAACAGCGTGAAGGCATTGTCAGAATTTGGCACAGCTGAAGGATCCTGAAAGAAGAGATGAGTAATTGGTTAAAAAGGAAAATACTATATTTGGCTTCTAGTATTTAATGGCTGAGATAATTAGGCTCTAAAACAGGTTCTTCATGCTTATACTGCCAGCGGAACAGCTCTTTGCCACTTTCCACCTAGAAAGGCATGCTTGTTTCAGAACTTGGATAAAGCCAGATGGAAGATCAAAACCCAACACAAAAGTTTCAACCAACAGTCTCTATAGCAAAAGTAACATTTTCAGTAATTACAGCATTCTCCATTTTCTCTGGACCTGCCACAGTAGTACTGATTGTTGCTCCTTAATCTGTAGTACTAAAATGGAACAAAATTTCCCTTTTACCTGCCAGTCCCAGGGTGGAGAAGCTAAATTCCAGCTCGCATTCAAGCTTCAACTGGAATGTCAAGTTTTGAGGCAGTTCCCCCTGAGGCTCCCCAGCGTAGCTGGGCAGACAGCTTCAACTTAGACAAATTCTAGCACTAACGAAGCAGAGCAGAGACCCAATTTAGCCACCAGGCTTTCTTCCCCTTATCCCTACTAACAACAGAGAGAGAAGCGGATGGCCCTCCCTTGAAACATGGTGGGGACAGGAAAAGTCTTCCACCTTCCCCACCTCCTACTTTCATCCCTGCGAGCAACCTGATCATCCTTCTACAAACACAGATCAAAACCCCCAAACACTCACATGTGAGTAGTAACAAAGAACATCTAGATCTCATCAGTCCCTTTCCAGTCCTGACAAGACCTCTTGTTATGTTGCAATAGGAAATCTCAACGCTTGATCACAGCTAAAGACCACTGGTACACTGCACTTCTAGCAGAAGCAGATGTTAGATGTTTCAGAGAGATATGCAAAACATCCACAAAACCCTCATGTAGATGGGAAGAGGTCATTTGACTCCTAAAAGACGTCTCCTTCCTGACTTAAAACTGCTAAGCAGCAATTCAAATCCAGAAACAAGGTTTCACTTTCTGTAGACATGCTTATTATCAGACATGTTCAATTCTGCTTGAATTCAGCTCAGTCATGGCAACCCATTGGCATCAAGCCAACCTATACTTTTTTTTAAAAGAAAAACTAGTTTTGTACCAAACATGAAAAATGTTCAACGCCACTTAACGCAGATCTTCACTCCAGGAGCATCCTTTAGCAAGTTTCCATGAACATTGTCTAAAATCCCCTTCTGTTAGGTCTGTCAGTTCTCAATTCTAGCATCTTTCAATTTCACTGGTCATGCCTCATGACAAGAAGTTTGCCTGTAATAGGACCGGGCACAAGGCACACAACAATTAATTGCAGAAAAAAAGAAAGCGGGTGGAAAGAGACATTCCCCTCTCCTTTCTCCTCTGCCAAAATATTGCAGCACTTTAGACTATTAACATTTTAATGAGACCAAAAAACCTACCTGCTCACCCTTATGCCTAAATCCCACTGGAGTGAGTGGGAGTAAAGCACCTAACTCTTCCCTGTGACTCTAACATCACTGTCAACATTTCAAAACTAACCAAAAGATACTGCCAAAACTAGTAGGAACCTGTCACAGTTATTCTCTGCAGCTACACAAAGCACTGCAGACTTATCAAAAAGAAATATTTAGATGACCAAAAGCACCCAAAAATACCTACTGGAATATAATACTGAAAGAGTCATGTCATGAACTCGGAGTTGTTGTGCTTTAACAGTTTCAATCCTACAACACCCAGCTCCTGTATACTTTCTTCAAGTATTCCCTTGTGTGTCTCTGTGTCTCTAACGATCCACCTCCAGAACAGACCCCCACAGCACCCTCCCCATTTGGCAACACAGATAGCAGCGTGCACTGCAGCTGATTCAGAGCTACAGTGCACACACCGGTCCAGGAAAGCATCCTGTCTGGCCAGCTGGCTGCTGCCTCTCTAACACAGTCGTTTATCCATCCCCGGCCTTCACTGAAGTTACTGTTCACTTACCTCAATTCACCTACTTCACCTTCTTCAATTTCCAGAATTTTTTAATTATTACTATTTTTAAATCTTTTGGATCACTAGGTGTCTGTCAGATTCGGCTGAAACTTGGCCAATCTCACAAACACTGTGGTATAGGACTGACGTATTTTCGCACAAAACTGCTGACACCTCCCACCCTCAAAAAAAAAAAAAAAGACAAGAGAACTGTATAGTGTTACAACAGACATTTCAGTACAGCTCGAGTTACCACTTACTGATTCACCTTACCCTTTTCATTAACTGGCTTGTGAGGTTCTGTAGTGTATTCACAGTGTATGTCTTGATAAGGTGCATAGCTTTAGAAAGGCATTGTTTAAACTTAATCAAATATACAGGATAGTCTTTAAAATTTGGCTGAAAGAAATGAAAAATCCATTTTAAATACCAACAATAAGAGAGTCAGAAATTTATCAAAACTTAAAATACTCTTTTTACTAGCTAGAAATGATAGTTTGTACAAACTAAAACCAGTATTTTATAAAAATTAAGCAGAATATTAAGTATATTCAGTAAAAATTTCTTAAGTTTATAAACCGTCATCTTTGCTTTCTTACTGTATTTGGCAGAGAGAACATTTTATAGGGAAAAAAACCCACCACAAAAATAGTATGAATACATAGTTTTGAAACTATTAAGATTTAACTAAAACCAATCAGAATTACTTACATGCGATGAAATATATGCAATACAATCATCAAGCTTAGCCAGCATGGGAATGAATCCTTCACTGTTCACGGACAGCGTAGGGGAATTCAATTTCTTTGGAAAACAAGATAAAGCATCATTGTAAGGAACCCAAATAACAGTGTTGGCAACAAAGTTCAAAAGATCGGTACGCTTTCGTTTTCTAAAACTATTGACAGTGAAAGAATACTTACTGTGTTGATGTTTTCCAGCTCATTAAAATAAGAAAGTTTCTGCTGGATGTTTTCAGCCAGGTCAACGAGTTCTGACTATTAAAAAACAATAAATAAAAGAAAATCAGCAACCTAGCAAGTAGTTTAAAT